TACACAGAGGAAGGGAGAGGGCTAGAAATTTAGAAACATCGATGACAGAGAAACATGGATCAGCTGCCTTCTGTATGCCCCCTACTGGGGATCAAGCCCACAATCAAGGTACATGCCCTAGACTAGAATTGAACCTGGGACCCTTCAGTCCTAGGGCCTATGCTCTATCCACTGAGCGAAACTGGTTAGGGCTATGCCTCCTTTCTTTATCTTCCCATACCTTCCACTGTGTCCCTTGTCTTCATCTCCACTTTGTTTAGTTCATTTAGTCACTACAGGGAAACTTTGTGATATCTTACTGATAACCTTACTCTTCCAACCAGAAATACCAATCTGGTACTTGTGAGCACTACCTTCTAAGTAAGGGTAAGTGCAAAATTCACAGGTCTTGCTGCTGCCTAGGTTTACATTTTATAACCTCTGACCTCCCCATACCATGCCTGTGGTGACAGTGAATTGGACCTAGTATTGGCATCTGATACAAAACAATAAAATTTATTGGCTGGCCAGTAATCGGTGACATCATAACCTGGCATGTAGACATGATCTGGACCAGACTCTTGTTTCTGAAAGTTTTAATCAAGAAACATAGAAATGCTATATTATTGAAGAAGAAGAAGGAGGAGGAGGAGGAGGAGGAGGAGGAGGAGGAGGAAGAAGAGGAGGAGGAGGAGAAGAAGAAGAAATGCTAAGTTAGTTAGCAGATACAGAAGAAGTTGAGAAAAAAGATACCAGGAGGTAGAATCAAGTCTGTGTCAAGCTGAAGCCAAGTTCAGTCTAAAGTTATGAGTAGATATAACATGTTGGCAATCTGAGAAAACTGATTGGTAGAGGGAAAAAATACAGTAGCACGAAGCAGACATACCATGAAGAAAAACTCCGTACTGCCCATGAAAGAGCTAGAGAGAATCCAGTGCTTCCCAATGGCTTTTGAGTTCAAATTTCCTTATGTTATAATAAATTCCCTTTTCACTGAGAGATCTCAAGTGAGTATTTTACTTTCACCCAAGAGAACATGATACTTGAGTGCTACACCAAAGGTCATGGAGTGGTCACCTGCCACAAATATGGATGCAGAAACTAACATTTAACATAGAACCTCTGGAAAGCAGGTATTTGATTAATGATGAATGAAGGGCATATTTTTAGGTTCCAGAGCTTTGGGGCTCAGCTGGACAGTGAAGTCCATACTGCTTCAGGGATTCCTTAATGAGGAAAAGTCTATATATACTCTAAGAAGATAATAAGTTAATTTTGCCTTCCGATGAAGACTTTTGAAAGAAAATCACAAAGTACTCTCTAAGCTTGTCTGCAACAAGGCTATCAGATTTTTGTACTCAGAGAAAAAGACAAGGACTTGAATAAATAGCAAGAAGCATTTTCACAGGAAAACAGAGAGAACATTCTGACAGTGAGATGGTTTAGAAACTTAGAAAATGATCAGTTAAGGTTAGAAATTCCCTTCAGTAGAATGCTTAAGTTAGAAGGCATTCTTATTTGTCTCATAGTCTTAAAGGAAATGGAAGTGTGTGTGTGTGTGTGTGTGTGTGTGTGTGTGTGTGTATACCACAGATAAACTGAATTCCTATAATATGAAGAAATATGAGCCAGAGTGTATGAGCTCAGGATTTGCACAATGGGTTAAGGACAAAATTGGGTATGAAAACTAAGCCTTTTCCTCCTTCCAGTGTATGCTCTTTAAGGGAAGAGTTAATAAAAAGTGAGCTTTCTCACACAGACTAGGAAGAACAGCACCCAATTTTATAAAATAACCATAGCTTAGCTTTCCAATGTCCACATTCAGATCCCTGGGACTGGCATGAACTCTGACTTCTCAAGCAGGAAGTTGTGCTGGCCAAATGCCTTTCTTGACATGTCAGTGGGGGAACATTCCACCTTCTTCAGTCCCCTTGCTCTTCAGACCTTACCATGCGGAGGAGCTCATGTCAGGGAATACCTCCTCCAGGAAGCTTTTCCTCACCATCCCCACCCCCCAGGCAAAGTTACATATTCTCTCTCTCTCTCTCTCTCTCTCTCTCTCTCTCTCTCTCTTCCCCATATCAAT